AAGTGGCTCAGTGGATAGAGTACCAGCCCTGGAGACAGGAGGACCTGAGCTCAAACCAGCCTCAGACACCTGACACTTACTAGCTGTGTGACCCTAGGCAAGTCACTTAACCCCAATTGCCTTGCCCCCCCAAAAAAAGTTTTAAAAGAAATTAAAGTTATCTATAGTCATATGAAAAAATGCTCTAAATCACTATTGATTAGAGAAATGCAACTTAAAACAACTCTGAGGTACCACCTCACATTTATCAGATTGGCTAATACGACCAAAAAAAAAAAAAAGAAAGAAAATTATAAATGTTGGAGATGTGGAGAAATTGGAACAGTAATGCATTGTTGGTGGAGCTGTGAACTAATCCAACCATTCTGGAGAGCAATTTGGAACTATGCCCAAAGGGCAATCAAACTGTGTATACCCTTTGATCCAGCAATACCATTACTAGAAAGGTAAGAGGCCAATAAAATTGTGTATGTATAGCCTATATCAGATTGTTTGCCATCTTGGAGAAGGGGGAGAGGAGAGGAGAAAAAAACTTGGAACTCAAAATCCAAAAAAGTTAATGTTGAAAACTAAAAAAAAAAAAAATTAAAAATTAAAAAAAAATAATAACTCTAGGTTTGGGGGCTTAATTCTCCAACTTGGAAGTCATGTTATTTTACTTTCCCCAGGTATGCGGGTGTGCATTAATGTGCAGGGATTTAATGAGTGTACAAAAAGGCTGGGTCCATTCTTGGGACAACTATGGCATCACTGACATTATCATCCTGGTCCCAACCTACCTTTCCCATCTCATCATACATTATACCTCTTCCTGAACTCTAGGCACCAGCCAAACTAGCCTTCTCTCTATTCCTTATGCATGGCCCTCTATCTCCTGTTTCTATACCTTTGCACTGACACAGAGGTCCTCCATGTTTAGCATGCACTCCTGGCTCACCTCTAACTCTCAGAATCTCCTGATTCCTACAAGAGGCAGCTCAAAGATTGCCTTCTACACAAAGCTTTTACCGATCCCCAACTTATCCTCAACTTCAATGCTTTCCCTCTCTTACTTACTTTGTATTTATTCTGTATATATTCCATATAAATACATTCTATATATACTTATACATATTATCTCTCCCAATAGAATGTAAGCTCCCCGAGAGAAGGAACTGATTCATTCTTTTTCTTTATCTCCATGCCTAACACAATGACTGGCATACAGCAGATACTTTACAGATATTTGTTGACTGTCTTCCATGCCTTTTTTCCTTTAATTCCAGAGCCCACACCCTCTTCAGGTACCCTGTTTCCTCATACTCTTCCCATCCCTTCCCTCAAGCATCTTTACTATTGTATCCTCAACTAGTCTTTCCCCTTTTTGAAGGACTCTGTCTCTGCCTTGCTCTCTCCTCCCTATACCTATCAAAATTTATCTCCTCCCATCAAAATGTATCCCATTTACATGCCTGTCAAGCTGGAAAGACTCTAATTTTATTTTGCAACAACTAAGGTTCTAATGACTAATAATGTTATTATCCAGCTTCCCAAGGAATGTCTTAACCCAAAATAAATTTTTTTCTGATGGTAGAAGGTTAGTGAGAGGTGAGTGGGGAGAGATATTAGGGAGCCAGAGTGTCACTTCTGTGACACTAAGATCTATCGTAAAAGAGATGACTACCCCCAGCCACAAGGCCATTCCTATACAATGTTAGTGTGGGAGCTCTTTCTTCAGCCTCCCTAGTTGTTAGGTTATTTTTCTGGATGTGAGGTTTAGCATTTCAGTTGGAAAGTATAGTCTTTGGAAAAGATGAATGACTTCATATAGATTAAGGCCAGTGTGAGTGGCAGATGATTTGTTTCGGGCATAGGTATGAGTTTCAAGAGAAATATTCAGTTTGATTTGAAGTTTTCTGAGAGGTTTTTTGGTGCTGTTGTTTTTTGTTTTGTTTTGTTTTTGCTAGTTTTTGAATGCAACAGGTTATAGTATGCTAGAGAGATTTGAGCACCAGAACTGTTCAATGATTACGAGACACAAAGTTTGTCACTCCTAGCTTAACTCATTCCACCTCCTCACCAGCAACCTTGCCCTCTTGGAATACCTTTCTTCTTCCTGCCTTCCCTTATCCACTTTCCAACTCCCCTCTATATTTTGTCTTCCTCTATTAGAGGAACAGACCATTTTAAGAGTAGGGGCCATCTTGTTTTCTTGTACTTGTATTCGTAGTGCTTGGCACATAGTAAGAGTTTATTAAATTATCTGTCACCTATATATGTGTCTATGTCTTTATCTGTCATCCATATATGCTTATCTGATTATACACTGAAGATAAGAGTTTAGTTACTATAGATAAGTTATAGTGTTATAGTATATAGTGAACAGCCATTCACAGTCAGGACCTAGAATCAAAACCCAAAAAGATGAGCAGATAGAGAGGAGTCAGAGTACAGATTTCAGAACTGCATCAGCTAAATGTGGAACTGGAAGTGATGGATACCACATTTGCTTTGAGGATTAAATCCAAGATAAACAGCTTGGAGGCAGATTATCAAAGAAGTCATTCACCTAATTAACTAGTTTGACTGAGTTGTTACCTTGGGGTCTTAACTGAGTATATCTTGTATCAGTTCAGCTTAGCAGTGAAATGCACAAAACCTACATTCAACAAAGAACTTTATGAACTGTTTGTGAGACAAAAAGAAAACAGTAAAGTTTACAATTCCACGATTGTCAGTTTCCCTGATCTTATGGGTTTTCCTCATTTTTGTGTATCTTTCCCGGAGTCTGTGTGTGCATGTCCACTCTCCCTTACTGATACTGAGGGGACTGGTGGGATTACGACAGGATAATGTGTGGAGTAGGATGTATTTATTATTTCCTGATTTGCTTTAACATATGAGTACCTATCATGTTGTTGTTATTATTTCTTCTGCATTATTGGTAAGCTTGAGATCTACAAATGCTGCTATTGTGAATGGCTTATTTTGTGTAAATAGAGGCATATTGGTGGAGGGGTGTGATCTAAAGTGGTGACTGAGGGAACATATTCCCCCACGATAGGATTACCTCTAGAGCCCTGAGAGAGTTTGAGTGCGACCAAGTAGTGGTGGTACCCTAGTTTTCTAGACCTGCTAGTGTGGGGACAGTTTAGAGTGAGTGAACCAGCCCAGAGAATGAGTAGGTGTCCACAAAGCCCACAGGAGAGGTGTGAGACATTACAGTGTAAGTGGTGATCCTCCATGCACCCATTATACCAGGGTTTGGCAATAGCTTTAACACAATAAAATAAAGCAGTCAAAGGTTTCATTTTGCTCCCTTTTGTATTACACTATAGTTTTCAGAAGTCTCCTGGTATCTGTGAGACCAAAGTAATTAAAAATGAAGTCTATCCATTCACTCACTGGACAAAGAATTGTTAAGTGCCAGCCATTATCCAGGCACTGTGCTAAATACCAGGAATACAAGGACAAAAGCAAAAAGCAGTCCATACCCTCAAGGAACTTAGGTTCTCCTGGGCCTACTGGTTTTAAGCTGGAATATTTTCACAAGACGGAGGTACAGCTTCATGTATCAGGTTTGGTGGTGGCAGAGAGTGGCAATTATTTGAGGTGGAGTGAGCTATCCTAGTGATTATTCTATGAAACAGAAATAACATTATCTAAGAACAAAAAAGGAAGGGAGCATGAGGAGGAGGGAGAAAAACCAAAAGAGGAGGAGGTGGTACACAGGGGCATTACAACATTGCCTCGAGTCGCTTTCCTCTATTTCATCTCAGTGGTGTTTATGGGAAGTAGTGGGTGAGTGGCACTCACAGATCTTAGTAGGTCTGTGTTTGGGAATAGGCTACTTCAGTCACCCCAGGCTGAACACACCAGAATGGAAAAGCAAGCTATAATTAAGTTGTGTGATAGCAGATGCCCATCAATCACTGCTTCACTGCAGCCTATCAGGTGGATTTTCTCCAGGTTTTAAAGTCACTTGGGAAATATATTAGTGCTTCCACAATTACACAATCATAGTCATGGAGAAAATTCCTTAGCTCCATTTGCATTTTTATTGAAAGTGAGTCTATCTAATCCTCCAAGATATTAAGATTTCTTATAATAATAATAGGGACTAGCACATACGCAGAGCCCTCTTGACCATGTCTCCCCACAGGGAAGAGTCGAGGGAGCCCGCTACCATTAAAGTTATGATGACGTGGCTGTTGTTGTTGTTGAATATAGTGATGATGGCGGTGCCTCGGAGACATTCAAGCACGCATAGACATTCTGTAACTGATTCTGGTCTGCTAACTACATGATCAGACAAAGCGGCTAGACGGGTCAAGCGGCTAGGCAACCAGAATGAGGGATGCCTTACAAAAGCACTACTGACCAGAGCTGCACCCACTCCTTTTTTTCAGCTGTGTTCTCTTCAGTTACCCTCTCTTGGTTTATCTCTTTCCCTGAAGGCATTCAGTGACAGGCAATGCTGTAAGGGGAGAAGCCTCAGGCCCTTACCACCAAGGCCAACACTTCACCCTTCAGAAATGCTCTTCAGTCCTTTTGCCTCACCATGTGTTCTTTTTTTCATTTTAAATGAAGAAAATTAATCCAGAGTCTCAGAACTTGTGAATTTCTAATGGTCAGGGGGGTAGTTATCCTGATGTCCCAGCATCCCAACATACAGGTTTTACAACTAGCTCAACGTTGAGTCCCTAAGGAGCAAGGAAATGAGTGTGACCTTAGTGACCTGATCCAGTAATGCCACGTTTGGACATAAACTTGACGGGACCAGTACTATGTAGGAGTTATGCTAAAAGTAAACCCACTCTCCTCATGGATAAAATATCTGAGGTGTTGAGAGGAAATGTTTGTACTTTTTTCATGCTATATCTTTGAAGTAAATATCCCTCTGTCAAAGCTAATTGATATTAAGTGGTTAAATAAAGCTAAATGCTAATCACTGACACCTTACAGTGGGGGATACACAACCAATCCAATGAGATAAACATTTATTAAGTGTCTATGGGGCAGGCACTGTGCTAAGTGCTGGAGACACAATTAATAAAAAGAAAGACAGTTTCTGCTCTCAATGAGTTTACAATCCAAAGGGCAGGGGTAACACAAAAGGGGGCGGGGAAGCAGGGGAGGAGGGAAACACCAGGTAGTACCCCGTAAGAGGGCATTTTGTTCCATGGAGCTGAAATCAGGTACAGGAGCAGATACAAATTGGAGTAATCTGAGAGTCCGTGTTGTGCTCCCTATGATGGAAGGCATTGGGAGGAGTTTGGTACTCTGCCCTCTAGCCCTCCAAATAGAAGGGAGAGGAGGCTGAGGGAAGTGATGTCCATCAAGACTTGAGTTAGCATCATAGTGGTGAGTTTGGAAGTGCTTTCTTTTAGTTCCACAATGAGCCTGCTATCAAGGAATAAATAAGCTCTCAACATTCATAAGGAAATAACAAGAAAATAAAATTGAATTTCAAAATTTAGATTGAAATAAAAATCACAACAGCCTGAATGCCCAGCAATTACTGCCCCCACAGCAAGTATAGACCCTGCATCTGTAACAACCAGCTACCACACCTATTTGCTGTTACCAAGCACCTCCACCAATGCCATATGATGCTGCTTCTCCTGGTACCACCTGCCATCCTATAGCTTCCACTGACCCACCTCTAGTGAGGCTTCTTCACTCACAAGCCAGTGACATAATACAGAAGCTCCCCTCAGTCCTCTTCTCATCATTCTTCTATTGCCTTCTATTGTCTTTTCTCTTTCCCTTTCCTTTTTCCTTGAAAAAAAAAATTGTTACCAGGTTACCTAGAGGTAGTGTGATATGGTAGAAATAGCACTGAATTTGGGCTCAGAGGATCTGAATTTAAATCCTGACTCAGCAAACTTCCTATATGTGTTATCTCAAACAAGTCACTTCAACTTGCTGAACCTCCGTTTCCTCACTCATTGGACAAGATGGCCTCTATTGTCCCTTATAGCTCTCACAGTATGTGAGCTAATTCCTAACAAGTAAGATGCTCCTCTATTCTTCAAAAAAAGTATGAGAGGATCAGACCATTTTCATGGCCTTGCACATAGGAAGTAGATCTGTGATTTTACTACTAAAAGGAGCTCCCAGGTAAGGAAACTCCCTTTATCAATGAAGGGGGCACTTGCTCTGTAACCGATAGCATCAAGAGCTACCTAGAACAGTAAAAGGTGAAGGGACTTGTACAGGGTCACAGAGACAGCCCATGTCAGGTGCAGGACTTGAACCCAGGTCTTTAAGGCCAATTCTCTATCTATTCTATGACACTGCCTCTCTTTGGGGTCTTTTGCTTTACATTAATACGTCTCTAGGTTGGGGAGATCCTTCTCATGGAACTATACCATGGTTCCCATGCCTAATCATAACATTAAAGTATTTTTTTTTAGACAGTCAGTCAGTAAGTATTTATAAAGTACCTGCTATATGCCAGGCACTGTGCTAAGTGCTGGGGATACTAAAAAAGACAGGTAGTCCTTGCTCTCTGAGAAGCTCAAAGTCTAATGGGAGAGACAAAATGTAATCAACTATGTACAAACTAATGTAATCAAACTATGTATATACGTTATAAGTGGGAAAGGGTACCAAAATTAAGGGGGCTTAGGGAAACGCTTCCTATAGAGGATGGGATTTTAGAGGGGTCTAGAAGGAAGCAGGAGAAGCCAGCAGGTGGAGGTGAGGAGATAGACCATTCCCTGCATGGGGGACAGCCAGAGAAAATGGTCAGAGTCTGGAGATGTGAGAGGAATAGGAAAGAGTTCAGTGTTACTGGATCAAGGAGTATATGTGTGTGTGGAGGAGTGAGTTGTAAGGAAACTGAAAAAGTGGTAAGAGGTAGGTTATAAAGGGCTTGGAAAACCAAGGAGTATTTATATTTGATCCTGGATATGATAGGGAGTCACTGGAGTTTATTGGGAGGGAGGATAGGGAGGTGATATTATAAAAAATTAAAACTACACTCATGATTTTATTTTATTAATTTTTTAAACTAAACTAATGAGATGGTGTAGTGGATAGAGCACCAGGCCTGGAGTCAGGGAGACTCATCTTCCTGAGTTCAAACCTGGCCTCCAGCACTTACAGGCTGTGTGACCCTAAGCAAGTCACTTAACCCTGTTTGCCTCAGTTTCTTCATCTGTAAAATGAGCTGGAGAGGGAAATGGCAAACCACTCCAGAATCTTTGCCAAGAAAAGCCTAAATGGGGACACAGAAAGTCAGACAGGACTGAAAATGAACTGAACTGATGACATCATTGGTGTCACTCCAATGAGGAAATTCCATCTACCAATGCAGATTGGCACTTGCTCTACCTACTATTTATAATCTTAGAGTTCCCTGGGACACCAAGAAATTAAGTGACTTGTCCTGGGTTGTGCAGACAGTCTATATTAGAGGTTAGATTTGAGCCTGAGTCTTCCTGACTCCAAGGCCAGGGCCAATTAATCCATGTAGCATGTCTTAGCAGGTAAGGATAGCTTCTTCAAGCATTTTTACTCTATTAAAATCAATAAACAAAAAGCTTCGGTTTCAGTTTTTGAATAAGGTTCCAGCTGAGTTCCCTCTCACCCAAAGCAGCTCTCCCATCTCCACTACTAGGAAGGGGCTATTGGGCAGAGGCACATTTCCATTCAGGCTCACATTGTATTTTTCCAGTTGGCTCTGATTGAGCGTCTCTTCCTTGCTTGGCCTCCTGCCTCCTGAAATGAAACCCAACTGAATCTGCAGATGGCTCAGACAATGCCCATGCCAGGGTCCTTACTCATGCTTGGTTATCTTTGTAGAATTCTAGGCACTCAGCAATCATTTTATCCACTTCCTGTGAAGCCACCGACACTTTAATTGCCATCTTAAGCCTTCCTAGAAGGAAAGCTTCAATTTAGGAATTTTTTCCCCTCCTTTCAGATGGAAGCTATATTTACCAGCCAGAAGAAAAGAACAAAAGCATCAGACTCACCAGCTAATGGAGTAAAAAGGAAGGAAGAAATCTACGCATAGTGTGTACAGAGTAGAGAGTGAGCTGGATATAGAATCAGGAGGCAGAGGTTCAGAAATCGGGCCCCAAACAATTATTAACTAGTGGTGTTAACCCTGGGAAAATCACCTCACCTTTCTCAATTGCTGTTTCCTCATCTGAAAAATGAGTATAAAAATATGCCTGCATCACAAGGTCATTGGAAAATCAAATGAAATAATACATGTTTTTTGCACACCTTAAATGAAGTGATTTATTAATGTTCTCTATTATTATTACTATCATCATGATGATGATTAGGCATGCCACACTAAAAAGATGAATAACTATGGCATTTGAAGATGTTACAGCTTACAGTGTTCATATAAAAGAGAAAACTGGCTCTCTGGCAGGGCTGTGCTGGTAAATGTTTAACTACAGTTTGGGGGGGAAATGTATGTAGGAAACACTTGTAAGTTTAAACTGTATTCTTAACATTTTTCCCATTACTTTCTTAGGCCCAGAGAATTAATGAAACAATAAATCATAAATGTAGCATTTAAATAAAAATAAATGTAGCATTTGCTTATTTCCAAGGTATAAATGCTCACCCTGAAAGTTTAACACTCTGCTCTCTCAGATGGTTTGAGCCAGCTGCAGCATACCCCTACTCTGTAGTACGATTTGTTGGATTAGGACCTATGTGCCTTCAGCAGTCTGGTGAAACCTATGGCCTCTTTTTAAAATAATATTTTAAAACAATTGAAATAGGACCCAGAGTCAAGATGGAAGAATGAGAGTCAACATTTTTACCCACTTTACCCAACACATCGCCTACACTGCAACCTAAAAAATATGCCAGACAAAATCACGATCAGGAAAGCCAAGAAAAAGTCACAGTGGATCATTTTTCCAACCCAGGGCAGATCAGGGAGAAAGACAGAGAGGTCTGTGAACACTGAGGAGGAGGCTGGCCAGGAGCACAGGACAGCACAGCAATGGAGGTAGCAGTGGCAGCAGCAGTGTGGAGCATGCTAGTAGTCAGGGATGGTAAGAGGCTGGAAGCACTTAGGCAGAATGAAATCCCAAGGGACCCTTGAATCAGGGCTAGGAACAGGAATAGGTTCCAGCTGGCAGCTTTGTCTCCTATTACCAAATTTGAGGTCACAGTTCCAGAGCAGAGCAGGTCATAGTCATGGTCACAAGCAGGAGAGGCCCTAGCTATGAATACGAGGAACAATTTTTCAAAGCTCAGCTGTGTGGCTCTGAACCCAAGGGCAGAGGGGGGATTCAGTTCTAATATTATCCCCCACATATAAATATTCACTGGAATAACCAGGACAAAAGGGGAATCAAGCAGTTCAATCTTTCTGAACCTGCAGAAATTCCTAGCAAGCTAACAGTAACTGAGCACATCATCAGTTGGACTCTACTGAAACGCTACCATACACAATCCTACAGGCCCAAACCTGGGTCAGAACTTGTAAAGTTTATGTCAGGAGGGCAGTAAATACATTTTTCCTCAGTTCACACTATATTGCAAACATTGAAAACTTTCAGGTCCCCAGATTGAGCTATGAAAGCAACAGAAAGACATAAAAAGACAGAAGCTCAGACCAGATATCCTCCCCAGAAGTGAGAAGGACCCAACACTAACATAAAGTCCAAAATTAAGACATGGGGTAGAAGAATGGCAAACAAAAAAAGAACCCAACCATAAAAAGCTACTGTGGCAACAAGGAAGTTCAAGACAGAAACACAGGAAGAAGACAATGATTTGAAGACATCTTCAAGCAAAGACTTAAAGAAAAAAAAATGCAGATTGTAAACAAGCTCAGTAAGAATTCTTAGAAGAACTAAGGAAAGTAATTTTTTAAAAAGAACAAAAAAAAAGATTAAGAAAAGTGGGAGAGGAAACAATGAGAAAGAAATGAGAGCTATATAAGAAAGTTATGAAAAGAAAATTGATAGCTTCCTAAAAGAGATACAAAAATATAGTGAAGAAAAAACATCTTGAAAATTAGAATTTACCAAATGGAAGCTAACGACTTCATGAGACATCAAGAAACAATAAAAAACAAAGTCAAGAGACTGAAAAAAATAGAAGTAAATAGAAATATTTATAGGAGAAATAATTGAGATGGAAAATAGATGAAGAAAAGATAATTGTACTAACTGAAAAATTGGACTACCTGCATGCTATGATAAAAAACAAGGCTAGGCATTATATTTCAAAAGATTGTAAATGAAAACTGCCTAGATATCTTAGAACCAGAGGACAAAGTAGAAATTGAAAGAACTCACTGGTCAACTCCTTAAAGAAACCCCAAAATGAAAACTTTCAAGAATATTATAGCCAAAATCTAGAACTCCTAGGTGAAGGAGAAAACATTGCAAATAACAATACAGAAAGAGTTCAAGTACAATGGAACTACAGTCAGGATCAAACAAGATTAAGCAGTCCTACTATATAGAAATGGAGGTTTAGAATATGGTATTCTGGAAGGAAAAAGATCTAGGCTTGTAACCAAGAATGATCTATCTGGAGGAGAAGTAGATATTTAATGAAATAGAGAACTTATAAGCATTTATGGTGGAAAGAATAAAGCTAAATAGAAAATTTGCCATTCAAACACAGGACTCAAGAGAACAACCAATAACATCATTGAAGATAATGGCAACAGTGAGGTAACATACCCAAATCTGTGGGATGTAGACAAAGCAATACTGAGGGGCAAACGTATATTTCTAAACACTTACATAAATAGTAGAGAGAAAGGCAAACCAATGAATTGGACATTAAACTTTAAAAAACTAGAAAAACAAGCTCAAAGTCTCCAATTAAACACCAAAATTGAAATCCTGAAAGTAAAGGAGGGGTTAATAAAATTGAATGTAAAAAATTGAACTAATAAATACAGCTACAAGCTACTTGTATAAGAAAAACCAATAAAATAGATAAACAGTTGTTGAATTTAATTTTTAAAGAAATAAAACCAAACTACTAGTATTAAAAATGAAAAAAGTGAAGTCATAACCAATAAAGAGAAAATTAAAGCAACTATTAGGAGTTATTTGCTTACCTATATGCCAATAAAAGTGTTAATCTAAATGAAATGGATGATCATTTACAAAAATATAAATTGCCCAGAATAACAGAACACAAAACAGGATATTTATATAACACTATCAGAAAAAATAATTGAACAACACATAAATTAGCTCACTAAGACAAAAAAAAATAGGACCAGATGGATTTACAAACAAATGTTACAAAACATTTAAGAAAAATTAATTATAATACTATATAGATTTTTTTTTTAAAAATATAGGAAAAGAAGGAGTCTTACCAAAGTCCTTCCTTGGCACAAATATTGTCTTAATACCTAAGCCATGGAGAATCAAATAAAGAAAGAAAAGTATAAACCAATTTCCCTAATGAATATAGATGCAAAAATTTTAAATAAAATACTAACAAGAAAATTATAGCAATGTATTACAAAAATCATATAGTATGACCAGGCTGGTACTAGAAATGTAAGATTGGTTCAATATTAGGAAAACTATGAGCATAATTGACTACATGAATAATAAAAACAATAAAAATCACATGATTATTTCAATAAATGTAGAAAAGACTCTGGACAAAATACAGTATCTTAATACAACAACTAAGAAGCACAGGAATCAATATGGAACTTTCCTTAGAATAATAAGTAGCATCTATCTACAACCAAGAGGACATATTATCTGTAATGAGGATGAGTTATATGCCTACAGGTACAAAAATATTTATAGCAGTTCTTTTTGTGATGGCAAGGAATTGGAAACTAAGGGGATGCCCAGCAATTGGGGAATGGCTGAACAAGATATGATATATGAATGTGATAGAATACTATTGTATCTGATAAAGAGGATGGTTTCGGAAAAACCTAGAAGACCTGATGCAAAATGATCACAACCAGAACAATCTATACTTATTGTATAGAGCAGTACTATAAAAATAATCAACTTTGAAAGGTTCAGTAACTCTGATCAATACAATGATCTACAACAATTCCAGAGAACTCATGATTAAATATACTATCAACTTTCAGATAAAAAACTGATAAATGTAGAATACAGCTTGAAGCATATATTTTTTCCTTTCTTTCTTTTTCTTGTTATTGGTTTGTTTTCTGTTTGGTTTTTGGAACATGGCCAATGCAGAAATTTGTTCTCCATGGCTATACATATTTGTGATAGGTTTTGTTTTTCTTGCCTTCTCCTTGGGTGGGGAAGGAAAAAGAACATGGGGAGAATTCAGGACTGGAAATAAAAGTCTCTGTGCTTTAAATATAAAGAGAAAAATAATTGAAAGAAATGTTAAATTTCACTTGGAGATTAGTGAAAATAAAGATGCATTTTTTTTCTCCATCCAAGTTCACAGATCCCTTGAAATCTATCCATGAACTTCTCGGGCGTGTCAGTATGTTAACGAATCCCTAGACTGCTTTTTCCAGTCCTCCTTAATCTTAGTGCCTTCTCTCTGAGACTACTCCCAATTTCTCCAATATACATCCTTTATATTTATAGCTATTTGTGTATTGTCTGCCCCCATTAGACTGTGAGCTCCTTGAGAGTAGGAACTATCTTTCGCCATTCTTTGTACAGTGCTTAGCATGAATAGTAGGATGCTAGTTCACAGTTCACCTGCTGACTGACTAAAGGTAAGTGGAGTTGAAAGCACCTTCTCTCCCAGCCATCAGTTAAAAAAAAAAATGGTGTGTTGTAGAGGTGGCCTTCACTGCCTTTCTGCGGTTTGTCTCGTCGAATTGTAGGGTCCAGGCTGGAAGGAACCTTCTGAGGTCCCTGCCCAAGACTTCTTGGTCAGTACCAGCCTTGGGGCTTGCCCTTGTACATGACCACTAGAGGAACAGTAATGGGGAGGGGAACTTGTCATCCTCTGATATCATGTAGTGAGTCATTCATATAGTGCAGATCTGGTGAGCTGATAAATGTTTGCTCAGTAGCTTCAAAGTGGTACTTCCCTTAGTAGGGGTGAGTTGGCAGAGGGAGGTTTAACCACCAA